TAATGTCATGCTGCCAAATTTGGTTTCTAGAAAAAACAAAACACTCTGGGCTCACTCAGTTATTCCGAATAAGACATAGTTCACAAATTCCCTCCTAAATATGCTAACAGAGGTGCCACAAAGCCTTACATTAGGTTTTGGTTGATTTAACGTGAGCTTTGAATTATCATACTTGAATATAAATTGATGCAAACTGTAAGTTTGCTCTGCCCACTAGGAAGTGCGGCTAATTTAAACAAAACTCCGACAAACACAACGTTGTGAAGCACATTGTAACCTGAGACTTTTCCAGAAGCATTTGTATACTCAAAGAGCTTTAAGGCAAAAATGACAGGCTAATTTATCTAAAGTTATTTAAAGGCAACAACAGAGAAATTGCTTTTAAAACTCACACTTTCTACCAAGAGAGAAAGAAGAATGAGGGACACAAAGTCACACTGGTTGTGAGTGAGGAAGTTTTGTCTCACGTCTTTTGCAGTTACAAACCATGTTATGTGACTATATTGCAGAAGAAGATAAATATTTTTTATTATTTAAAGCAGTGATTCCCAACAGGAGGTACGAGTACCCCTAGTGGTCCATGAGTGTATTGCAGGGGGTACATAAATATATTTTAGTTCTTAAGAAGTAACATAAAATAGGGCTGGGATCTGTTTTGCTTTGTGGGGACCTAATAAAAAATAAATTAAGCTTTATTTTCAACCAAAAAGTACGTTTTTCTTTGAGTTCACATTCAGCTTTGATACACTTTAAAACCAAGCAGAGGAATGGACTGGATGTAGAGAACAGTCTGGGATCAGCTGGAGGAAAATAAATGTAGTCAGTCTGACTGCTTTTTGTTTAGTATTATTTTTCCAATTCATCAAGTTTATATGTGATTACAAGGGAGTTACTCAGAAGAGTTCCAGTTTTATAAAGAAAGATTTTTTTTTTTATGAGAGGACAAAATGCCTAAGAATTAAATCCTCATCTTATAATTAGTTATTGTACGCTCTACTTTTGGGCAATCATCAATACTTTTGACTAAGGGGGTACTCATGGTACTCAAGACAAAATGCTCAAAGGGGAACACAAGTCAAAAAAGGTTGAGAACCACTAACTTAAAGAATAAAACTTGGTATGAATATATCAGCCCCATGTCATAGAATCTATTACAACTTTTGATTCGTGATTACACATTTCATCATATAGGCATGACACGTAACCCTTTTTACAGACCAGCAATCTGTAGTTTTTAATGATCACTGGTGTGTTAAAGTAGTATACCACAAAGTTTTCCAAAGTTTTTGTAGATGTTTCCCTCCAGTGGCAAGTTGAAATGACACTGGTGTTGTGTGCATGCTCGGAAAAACGGACAAAGCACTGGAGTTGCTTCTGCAACTGTACAGGACTTTGCTTTTAGAGGTGTTATGTTTTCTGGTGTAAGAAAGTAATGCATACTTAAATTATTTTGAATGGAGAATTTAGCCCATTTCGCACCACAAGACAAAATATTTGTTTTTTTTGCTTTTGTGCTGAACATGTGATGGGGTTTGAGGTGTAGTTATGGCTGATCTTTTGTGATCCATCTTGAAGAATCATTTCCGTTACAGATTTCTTGTTGCAGCAGAGATTCAACATACGGTAGTAGCCAAGTGAATGAGAGAGCACACAGTGCATCACACCCACCTGCATATCCGGAAAGATATAATTACCTCATGAACTTACTAATGGAGCCAATAAAACAACTGTGGTAAATAGAGGAAACATCATTGTACAAGTTGGGCAATTATAAGGACATGTATGGGAAAGAGAAAATGTTTACCTTCAACTACTCTTTAAGCTGCTAATGAGGTCTGCAGCAGTCTTTTGTCCATATTAATTTTTTTGTGCATCTTTTTGGCTTTGTGAATATAATAAATTGTGTCCTTCTTAATGAACATGTCTGAATTGTATGTTTCCGACTGACACTATTTGTTGTTGTGTTTGTTAGCAGAACTATTTGGCAAGTTATGAATAGATTTTAGTGATATTTTATTACCAGAAGTGATCCTCATGTCAAGCAACAATCCATTACAATTTGCTTATGATGCACTTTATAATCCTGATACAGGAGGTTTTTGAAAGATTTGCTAGCATTGTTAGATCAGGGAATGAGCAGTCCCCCCCAAACCAGAGGGTGGCAGCAGTGAGTATTGACAGCTTCAGCATCAAACTCAAAAGTCCAGAAATATCCCACTAAAGACAAAATACAAGAAAGGGCAGCCATGCCTTTCTAAAAGTATTGATTAGCTGATAAAAAAAGAAAGCAGAGAACAGAGTGAATGAAGAAGGTGAAGGCAACACAGATGCCCAAGGCTGCAGATACGCAACTTGAACTGATTTTAAGGATTTTTTTTTTTTTACCAGAGATGCACCTGATTGATTTATTGACTTTATTGATCTCACAGTGGATAAATTTATTCGTTACATCAGCTCAAATAGTCAAAAAGAAAAAAAGAAGGTGCCAAACGAAGAAAAAGGTGCATGGTATATATACAGTATATACAGTGCGTCCACATATGACTTTTTTTTCCATTTTGTTTTTCAGGGTTATTATACTGGGTTATTGCGCAGGGTGAATGCAAAGGAACATTCGACTACAAATTAATAATGATTCAGATCATGTGCACATTTTGACAATAGTTGTAAGTCACACTTTGAGGAAATATTTTCTCCTTGGCGGAGGTCTGCTCTCTCCAAGTACTACTGTTATTCGCCAAGCATTATCTTCCACTGTAGTGACATTATGAATTTATTTTTGCGTTATCTTGTTTGTGTATGAATTTTGTATACATCTTAATCAAACCTTATTCTGTTACTTAATATGAGATAATTCCTTTTAATAAGGAACTGTTGCCAACCCTATCGGTGGCTGAAAAGCCTTCAGGGTTGATTGACAGGTAGTGCTGTATCCGTTTTCTGGGATCTCACCTCCTGATATGATTTAATCAATCAATCAATCAATCAATCAATCAATCAATCAATCAATCAATCAATCAATCAACCAACCAATCTTTAATGTCAACTACAATTTACATTGCAATCGAAATGTCAGTTTCAGTACATCCGTTCATCACAATACATCACATACATTGGGGTAGGGGTGCTGAGAGGGGGAACGGATCTACTGAGGCCATGCGTTCCGCAGAGCGCTGCTAGTAGCACATTCTTATGGCTTGCCAGGTTCCCACCAGTTACCTGGCTTCCCAGGTCCCAGGCATTTACCTATAGCACTGCCTTTATGTCTGTGGAAAAATAGGAGCCACATACTGTATGGGAAGAGAGGGGAAAAAAGCATATTTCACACTTCATCCTTCACAGGATACAGCTTGAGATATAAAAAAAACCTCAGCACAAGAAAAGCACATAAAACACAAGAGACATTTCAGCTGAGGGTCACTTCAGAGGCGGACTCACATGAAGTCAACTTTTGTGTGTGTGTATAATGAATGCATTCAATATGTTCGTGAACAGCTGACCACAGGCAATGTCCTTGATGAGATGGAAGTTTATCAACAGTTTTGGGCCTATCCAAAGGTGTTCGCGGGTAGGGGAGGGGCGGGAACAGTTCTTCTTTGCCCTTTTGCCATAACATCCAAGGGAGATTAGATAAAGGGGTTAGCTTGAATCCATAATAACACTTATAGTTTTGAGAGCAGGCTGCACAGGAATTTCCTTCAGCCTTGAGTCTTTTTCTTGCTTGACTCTTTTCGTGGCGAATCCCAAATTTGTTGGGCTTTTCCGCCTTGAAGTGAGCGTGCACATCCAAGATATTCCATCTCAAGTTTGAGTTGAACCACCACAGCCAGCCTGCATTTAATTGCACCCAGCTTGCGGGTCATCTCTCAATCTTGCTCGTTGACAGCCTTTGTGAGGGTGTCAACCGCTGCCAGCAGCCTGATAAGTGCCCAAATTGCCGCCGACATCCTCTGTAATTGTAGATACACCAGGTATCCTCCAAATCCAAATAGAAGAAATCTGAGTATCATAAAACCAAAAATCCACATATCTTCGATATCTTCCAGTGACAGTGTTGTGAAACACACCATCCTCCAGGCCCTCCACGAGTCCCCTTTTACCTGTCTTCCAGTTGAATAAATTTGATCAATTGCATTGAAAGACCAGCTGACCAGATCTATTTTTTTGAGTTCGGGTGATATGAAGAGAGAGCTCAGAAAAGACAAGACACAGCAAAGCAGGGACAGGCAGGGAGGTGCAGGACCAGCAGGAAAAAGCAACCGCCTCCTTCAAGAGTCAGAACAGAATCATAGGTCTATCCTAAACGTTTTCTTATTGAGGATAGATTGGAGTAGGAATATCCTTTATTTTTTCCAAAAAGAGGAAAACTTAGGAATCTTAGTGGAAATACAAGAAGCAGTGAAAGCATCCAGGTAATACACAACACTGTGCAGTTATGACAAAAATGACATTTTCAGATTAAATAAAAAAGGTTCAAGAGAAATAGTGAAAAGATGACAACTGAGAGTAAAAAACTGTGCATTTTTGGAGAAAAAAAGCAGGTAGTTGTTAAAGTTAAGGGGTTCCATTACACTACGGGTGTCATGACTGGCTGAACCTTACGGACCCACATGCAGAATCAGGCACGGACACCAACTGAAGGGAGAAGTTTTGTTGTTAACTCAGCCAACACTGGATGGGGAAGAACCGAGAGTCGCTGGGAATACACTGCCACAGGCTGTGCAGGTGGCTGGAGGTGCACGCTAAAGGAGGAGGCGATCGTCATGGAGCTGTCACAGAGGTGGTGGAGAGCGGGCAGGCAGACAGAACCTAAGCTGCAGATGGGAACAGCTCGCAGAGTTAGACGCTGAAGGGATCAGCCCAGGAGTGCTTCAATTGAACCTGGGAATCCAGAGAGACAAGAGGTGAGCAATTAGGAACCTTTCACTGGGAATCAGACAAAACTTTCTCGTGGGGAATTTAACGCTGGCTAGATTGGTACCAGAGTATGGGGACCATCAGGCGAGGAAGAGATGGCTGCAGCTCCTTAAATCCCTCACAGGTAGATGGGTTGATGGATCTCAGGTGCTCAGACAGCCGGCCACGCCCACCTGCGGTGCTCCAGAAGAAATAGAGAAACACTCCACTTAAAGGTTCTGACATCAGGAGCCTGGGTTGTGGGAGACTTAATAATCCAACCCAAGTTACCTACAACCTTTAGAGCTTTTATGTGACCCTAGTTTGTTTCTGTGTATTTTTTAACACCACTACTGTTGCTTTGCTGTAGTGGGTCTTCCTTCTTCTTTCTGTGGTTGATTTTCCTATCTTGGAACTTTTACCTCAGTTCCCCCTTGTTTTCTGATTTTAAGGCTAATCTCTTCCCTCTTAATATAGTTTTTTATTTCAGGATTGATCCAGACTTGATCCAGGCTTGTCCATTTTATAAAACTAAACTATAGTTAGTGTATATTGTTTAGAACTTTCTCTATGGCTCTTCCAACATTAATGAGTCACATCAATTGTTTCCACAAGGTCAGTGCTGATGTCCTCCTGTTTGGCATTGTGGTATCTCATATCTGTGTGCAACTAAATTGCAAACATTTCTGTACACATTTTGCTTCCATAGAGGTGTTAAATGGCCTGAATTTATGTAGCATTTTGCTTGTCATATTACCCACTCAAAGCTGCTTACACTAGACACCCAATCGTAGTTGCACTAAGGTGCAAGCATTTATAAACCGATAGATATGAAAGTTCCTTGGGATTAAATGCCTTGCCCAGGGACAGATTGAAATGTAACACAAGGAAGCTGGAATCAAAGTGACAAATCTCAATTGCAGGACTACTACTATTCCCACTGTGCCAGTCAACAAAAAGTACTAAGATATACCACACATGTACTGAGAAATTAACCAGATTAACACCATTAATAATGCTTTTATATAGCCTTTGGCTAATTAAAGTAGTTCACACACCAAAAAAGATCAGACCATAAAGATAATATGTGGATGTATAACATCATCTGGTTTGATGGAGATGCTTTTAAAGAAATCGTTAAAGTACACATAAAGGAAATAAGTTGTCAGACACAGTAATGATCACATTTATTTTGAAAAGTGCAACAGTGTTCTTTGAATTCTTGTGCCACTGAAAATGTTTTTTTGTGTAAATCAGATTGCATAGCCTTTCCTTTCCTTAGGAGGTAATCTTGATAAAACTGGGATTCTGCCCGTTCGAAGCCCTGCTAATCCAAGATAAGTTCCTTCCTTATGCATCTTATATATTTTATATCTTCAATGTCTTGGAGAAATCATCCTTACAAATAAATCAAGATCATTTTGAATTTGAGATAAACAGAGCCATGCTTTAATCTGCATTTGGAGTTAACGTAGGATTTATGAAAAATAGGCATTTCTTGAAGAAAATGTTAAACTGAAGATTATTTGATACACATTCTTTAATCATCCTTTGCTATATGAACAATTAAATTTTTTTCATAAAGTTTGAATTATATAAGCCTTGCAAACCATCCCATTTCAACGTTTTTAAGGATAACAGAACATCTTCCTGTTTGTCATGTCTGAGGCTGAGGAGAGGCTGAGGAGAATCAGTGCTGAGGCAGCTGGTTTCTCTGTTTTCATGTCACTGGAGACTTCAGTGATTAGGATGGCTTTAAATCTAATTCATGTCTATAGAGATCAGTGTCACAAATCTCAGTGCGCTGGCTTCCAATAATGATATTCTTAAAAACGCATACATTACTGCCAGCTGTCACGCAGCCATGCACTGTTTAATGCATGTCGTATCTCATTTTAAAAGCTCTGATTTAACCAGCTTGCTGTAGTTTGTCCTTTAGGCTCCTTGACAGCAGTGTCATTTAAATAATTTCTCTCTCAGATTTTCACTGCTGTGGCTGTTGAAGTCGACAGTTGATGAATAAGAGAGACCCCCCTGCCGAAGGATCAGGAGCAGGGCTATCGTACTTCATGTTGACTGAAGGGCAAATGTTTTATAACCCTAAATGAATTATTGAATTTATACAGTGTTGTTTTTGGAAACCTTACAAGTTTTAGTCTTAGTCTTTTGGATGAAAACGCTCATTAGTTATAAGCAGGACTAGTCATTTCATACCCAAAAGTTTTAGTCAGGTTTTAGTCAACAAAACTGAAAAAAAAAAAAAAAAGATCTAGTTATAATTTGATTTAGAGTTTCTTTTTATTAACTCCCTGTAGTTAAGTAAACAAGTGAATAGAAAAAGTGTCATACAGGTTAATTTATATACATATATATTATGCACTTCATTACTGCATGTGTTTAAACACACATTTTACTAAATACATAATTGTTGTTTATCCAAATTGTTTCTTGGGCTGATAAAATGCCAAAAGTCCCTATATTAAAAAATAAAAATAAAATGTTCAGCTTGGAGCTCCAAGCTGACACAGCAGAACAAATACATTTTCATTCAGGTGATTCTCTCTCCCTCCTCATCATTCTCTGTCCATGCAGTGCTTGCCTAATTCAGATTCGCTTTCACGGAACCCTCTAATTGTTTTGAGGAACGCATGTTTCCAAACTTAGTAGATCAACACTGTGTTCGCAAATCACAATGATAAATCATTAAAACCATTCATAACTAGCTATGAAAATATACACTAGCTCACCAATTATATCTAACCATTGCTGCCTAATTACTGCAAGAATCCACCCAATAAACATAAATTGATTTATACAACATATTACATAACAGCTACCAATGGATTAGACAAAACTGCTGCTCTTATGACTCTGTTACCTAAAAAGCCACTGCTGTTCAAAATTGCTACCCTGGCTACCGTAATAGCACTCTACACACTGTCACGTCTTGGTTCTGTTAGGTTTTCTTTGAGTTTTCACTTTCATGTTGATTCACGTTTTTCTAGTTTTATTGGTTAGATTCCTATTTTGTTGTGTTTTCTGAATGTATTTGAATTCTTAGGTTTTCCTTTGTTGCCCTCTGTTGCCCTCTTGTGTTGGTCCCCTTCCTAGAAGCCTCTGTTCACACCTGCTCCCAATCAGCTCGTTAGTCCTGTCTCTGTTCAGTCAGCCATAAATACTCTCCCTGTGCAGTTCCTTGGTGATGGTTCCTTGTCTTTCCCCACCTTTCCCTGGCTTTAGTGCATGTCATCCCTTATGTCTCCATGGTTCTGGTTTGTCTTGCATTTTTAAGTTGGATTTTTGGATTCCTGCCTTTGTTACTTGTGCTTACTCCATTAAAACCATAAGAACTCACCTCTGCCTCCCTGTCTCTGCATTTGGGTCCTCAAAACCTCAACCAAACCCTGATACACACAGCATAAAATGCTAAAATCAGACAGTTAAAGTTGGCACAGACCAGAAATTGGGAAATTTGGTCAACAAATTCTTCTGGTTTTTTACATAAAGCTACAAGACTACTTGGGATAACAAAGTACATATAAACCAACATTATTAACATATTATAATGTGCCGATAGAACGTAATCAAGGAGACAAACTTTTCTGAATATGACACTTTCTGTCCAGCCATAAATCTCTATATTTTTCAGAGCAGTACAAAACGATTGTTAGAGATAGATGTTGGAAATGTTAACTGTGTACTCTGCTTTATATGAAATGTAAGATGATCTATGTATTTCTGTTATAACCCCATTTTGAAACTCTGAGGTTTGTCTGTGTGTGCAGGAACCTGTAGCTTTAGACTGAGGAGAGTCAGAAAAAGCTGGAATTCTGAGTTAGTATTCTGCAGAAAATAGCTAAGCCAGATACATGCAGACTATATCTTGACAGGGCATTGCTTTAGGATAAATAGCCAGGAAACTTAAGCTTGGAGCCAAACCATTGTTTGCACTCTGATGCTACGTTCACACCTAAAGCAGCAAAGGCAGCAGGAGCAGCTAGTTTAAGTGCAAAGTCAATGGTTCATGCAGCAAAACATCCTGCAGCGCGTTTTGAGCATCTGAAGCAGCACGTCGTGAGCTTCTGAGCATCTGAGCACTGCAAACGCAGCAGCTGCTGGAGTTAAAAAAATTAAACTTTTGCTGCTTGACGCACCACATTAACCAATCAGAGAAGTTGATCTGGGAGCTGGCAGGGAGACAAACACATCGCTGATGATACAGATCACCATGATCACTCCTCTGAAACAGTTTATGAACGCCTAAATTAACTCAAAATGCCGAAATCTGCAAACATATTCACTTTTATTATCCTCGTGTCTGTAGTTTAGATTATGTACATAAAAAACGCCTTCCAAACGCCACGGCAAATTGCGAAGAGACGACTGGGCCCTAGGCTGCTGTTGAGTGGGATTCCTACTGCACCGTCAGTATGTGGGGGTCCGAGCAGATCCGACAGTGACATAATATTTGAAGGCAGGATGGTAATCTGGATGAACTGACTGCACTGATGAAGTTTTCAGGTGGACTTTCTCACTGAAAAACATTAAAACTAATTTATTACCACTGATCACAGCAAATATAGCTGCTATTGTTACAGGAAAGAAAGGATAGGGTAGCTCTGCCCAACACGCATCAGATTCACTTTTCCACTGTGCAGCTAGAGCAGCAAAGATGCTTCAGCCGCGCATCAGAACTGAACTGTACAAGCATGAAAAATGAAGCAGCACACACGTTTTTGCTGCTCCTGCTGCTTGCGGTCTGAACGTAGCATTAAACTGCAAACACTGAGCTGTGATCCTGGCCTTTCACTGTATTATGTATTTATGATCAATATTTTGTTATACTTGACTAGAATAAATTCTGTTGATAAAGAAAAAAGATTAATAATTATACATCAAAGACATTTTTTCCTTTTTTACATTACTCTGTGAACTCTCCCATCATGAATAAAGAGCCTTCATTGAACTAATGTTACAGCAACCAACTCAGCTTTACTTTTGCAGGAATATCAGAAAACCTTAAGGTGCTGCTGTGGTATTTTCCCATAATCGTTTAAGGTTGCGTTAACCACTGTCTGTCTCTAAAATATATTGGATTTTCTTTTGAATTTATCCTCTTTAAACTATACCCACAGCAATTTCCAAAGTGTGTGACCACCAAGCTGAAGTCCTTTACTATGCTGCAGCTGCTCTCAGGTGGTT